AGATCAAAGTCTTAAAAACATACAAGAAATCTGCCACTCACTCAGCACGGCACACAAGGGAAAACACTGTGCCCCCTAGTGGGTGTTTGATTGGGCTTTTACTGGCCTTTTCAATTCAGCTTATAAGCAAAAAAAACCACCTATCACGTGCTTTTAGCTTTGGCTTTGATTACCCCTAAAAAAAGCTTTGGCTTTGACTTTTGACCTATTTAGAGACAAAAGCCAAAGACCAAAGCACCTAAATAGGTGCTTTTCTGGCTTATAAGCCAAATGCAACCAAATTGACTAAGCGACCAAAACGCCCATGGTGTTTAGCTTCATCCGTCCACTAATCACCAAATGAGCTACAAATGATGGGCACAATTGCTAGGAGACCAATCGAATTGAACACCCTACTCCATCACATGCAAGATACCGAGCAACCCATCAAAAGGTGTTCAAAATCCTCAGGTTCTGTGTTGCTTGACAAAAAAAGACAGACTCATGGGTCGCCCTGGCAGGTGGTTCGGGAGAAGCCCTAGCCGCAGTTGAAAGCACCTCTCCCCGTCCCCCTTCCCTCGCCTCCGTCCAAGGGCATAGTATGGCGATGCCCACAGGGTGTCAATGGCGGTGGGGGTTCAGAGACAACACGGGTCGGCGTACCCTTGATGAGCAGATCGCGGTGCCAATTTGTCTACGGCGGTCCTCGTACGGGGTGGGTGACGTTGATCTGATCCCGTGTGGACGGATTTCTACTCTTAGTGGTGCCCTGGTGGCGACGACTGTGCGGCTTTGTCTTATGGGCGGCATGGCATGGTGGCAGTTGTCCTGATCTGCCGGTGGTGCACGAGTTTGGGGATAGGTGTTGAAGGCCTTGTTTTTTCGATGGTGACGGCACCATGGTCGCGTGGACAACGCGTCGGTCAGATTTGGAGATGGTGATTACTTTTTCCAAGGCCAACATTAGTATGGGACACCCCCTCCAACTCTAGATAGGGTTCGATCCGGCTCGCCAGGTGCTACGCACGACGACTCTTCAAGATCTGCCAAGTCATGCAATGTCGTTGGCAGGTGCTACGCATGACGACGACTCATGTGGAGGCGCCAAGTCATGCATGCTGCTAATAGCTACTAAGCGTGGTGGCTCCTATAGATGTGACAAGTCATGCATATTGTTGCTGGATTGAAGGTGTGTGATGTGAAGGAAGGTGAGGCGCTATGGGACGTTTTTGTTTTCGGTATCTCCTCCGGAGGTATCTGGCTATCAAGGTGTCGGTAGCTGGACAAGGGATGATGGTAGAGGCGGCTTCAACGACGAGTATGCACAGTTCAATGGAAACACAAGATCTCCGATCATGCAATGTTGGCGCGTGCCTGCATCGTCTCCTTGCTAAACATGGTGAATCGAAACTCGGCAACATCATCATCTAGGGTTGGGCTCATCATCATCGGCACACATGCGACATTTCCCTCTTGACGGTTTAGCTTAAGAGTTGTGTACTTTTTGTTTGTTTTGTATTTTATCATAGGGTTAGTGGTTCTCTGGTGGAGCTATTGGCGCAAGGCACACGACCTCGGGTTTTCTTTTCTAGGTCAAATTTATTTGGCTACTCGATTTTGTTTCTTGAATGACATATGGTCGTGTGCATCTTTAAATGGGGAGGGGCTGTCCTCCTTTTCCCCAAAAGAAAAAAAGGTTCAATACTGCAAGAGACGCAATGTTCATTATGTAGATGTTTCACATACCTTATGTAGTTCTCCCACATGAATTCTAAGCTACCCTCCAATGTTTGATGATTTACATTATTAGAACATTTGCTATACCATTACATTCGTATGTGGACTTGAGGCGGAAACCTTATTTGGCCAATACACGTGTGTTTTATTGATAGAAGATTTGGAAGTGATTATAACTCTTTTATACATATAATTGTTTGTGCTTGAGTTTAGGTATTTGTGCATCTTTACACCATCTAATTTTTTTAGCAGTGTTATAGCAATGTGATGTTATGCCACTTCTAAACATCATGCAAAAATATGAAAAATGATCAAATGTATCTGGACAAAAAGTGGAAAATATTCAACTTAACTTTTAAACATGACATTGTGTGATCAAATTTGTTTTGAGATTTTTCTCACAAGTACATAGACCGTAGATTCAACAATCCACTCTTGTACACGCATTTGCTTCTCCATTTGTAAAGTCCTCTTTGGGTCGCACTATTATAAAACCACCTCAATTAGTATGAAAAAAAAGTAGGATTGGTTTGTCATGACGTATTGAATCCTATTAAAACCTTTTTTGTGGGGTGAATCCTATAAAAACTTAAAATACATGAATCTATTATAAAAATTGTCTGGTTGCACCATAGGTTAAGGCAATTCCTATATGAACTTTCTTTGAACCAAAAAAGGCTCTAAATTTCCTACATGGCAAACAAATGCATAAGCCAATGTAACCCCCTTTCAATCTATTTTTTGTGCATGGGTTGTTGCTACATGTGTTCATTACTGAAACCGAGAAACGAAAACCCCCCGGAGTCACCTAATTACGTGTGCATCCTGAATCCCCTCAAACGGCCGTTGGATCTGAGATCCAACGGTCCAGGTCCTTCTAGGGCATGGGAGCATATGAGCTGTCGAAGCACTTGATATTGTTTCCTGGCTAGGTCCACTCTATTTTCTGCTTTGGACGCGTCTTCTCGTGGGTTCAGCATAAATGCATAGTAGCTTCTACTACTGGCTAGGAGGCTGAGAGCAGCGTTGCAGCGCCCGAGCACCAGTGCTCTCTATATTTGACTTTTTCAAATTCGTATTTTTGAAGTTTCAAAAAAATGTGAAATTATTTCCCAGGATGCATATACACATTCCGAATACCCATTGCAAGTTTCGGTACAAATCTCGTTTTGTTTTGGACTATAGAAAAAAAACAAATTTCTGACAGTATATAGAAGAAAAAAGATGCCATTTTTGTCAGAAATTTCTCTTTTTTGTATTTCCCAAAATACAAAGTATTTCTTCTCTAGATTTCTACCAGTCCTTAGGAATATGTGTACGTATTCACATATTTGTTTTCAGATTTTTTTGAGCATCAAAAGTGTGTTTTTCAAAAAATTCAAATATCAAGAGCAGTGGAGCTCGGCCTCTGCAGCCACTTTTCGCTAGGAGGCTCGGCTTCCTGCCGAGAGAGCCGCTACGGCTACCTGTTTGTCCATCGGTGACCATACATCCGCTGACCTGCGCCGCTGCCCGGCCCTGATTCCCCTTCCGTTAGCCCGCTGTAGCAGTGCCATGCCGCTGGGCTGATAGCCTGGCCTGCCATCGGCTTGACGTGACAAGACTCCTGTTAGCTAAGCAGCCGGCCATAGCTGCACTTGCTCGCGCGATTGGAGGAGCAATGTCTCTCCCTCCCCCGTGGGCTATGGCCGGCCCTACCGTGCTACACGATCGTAAAAGTAGTGTATCGATTCCAGGAGGGTGAAATGAAATCACGGGAACGATTATCCGATGAAATAACGATCTGGTGAGGCTTAATTCAGGTTGTGGCAGAGTCGCTTGGTGATGTAAACTGTCAAATGGTGTTAACCTCTTGTTGAGGGTTCGGCTAGAGTCCTAGAGATGCTCTTAACCTATCGGTGCTCAGTGAAACAGGCATGCCCCTACTATGTCCAGAATTAGGCATTCAGCCTATGACAACTCCTAGTTTCGCTCTAGTAGTACTCCGTATAACTTTTCTTTCGAGAAAGCAAAGGCTGAATTTCTGAGCTCTACAATCTACTGGTGTAGTACCCCATTTACTTGCTTTCAAGTTCTGTTCATGTGGACCCACCATTAAATTCACTGCCGTCTCACCACAGCCTCGGATCCACCATGTCCTTGAGAGGCGCCATACCATGCTGCTAGTTCTACTGCCTGTTTGTTACCACAAGAGACAAAGCTCATGCTCGGCTGCTCAAGCTGCTTGTTGCAATTTGATCCAACATGGATTTCTCACATTTGTTGCCTCTATCCTAACACGCTGTACTAGCAGCAGTAGATGTCTTGAGCTGTGGATGCAAAATCTCTGCTTGAGCATGGTGGCCTCTGGTCATGGTCATGGTCACTCTGCACCACGGCCCAGGCCAAAGCTGGTCTTGCCATGCACTGCCCTCTGCATCATTATAAATGCACTTGCCATGTTGGCTTCAGCATATCCTGCCGTGCCAAAAGGTGAATCTAGTGTTGCTTTTGCTGGGTCATTGCTCTGGTTAGGCCATTCAATGGGGAAGGGGACAGTGTCAACTCGAGCCTTCTCTTGTTCCCTTTTTCTGAAGGCACGAAAAATGAATTAAGAGGGGACAAGTCAGGGTAAATCAGAGGTGAAATTTTATGATCATGATCAGGTTAATGCATGGAAAGTGTTGTCTCGATTCGATGGCAATCAGAAGCAACATGTTCACTTCGCCCTTTACAGTCCTGTCAATCCACATCATGCAGGTTTCTTACGTGACGTAAAACACTGATTCAGCTAAGGCAGTCTTCTGTTTTTGGAGTCGGCAGTTAAGTCGGTCTTGACATGAACATGTTGACCAAAACTGTGATTGCCAAATCATCACATTCCAACCAACTCTCATGCAATCGAATCACGGAGCTCATGACAAACTACCCTTCCTTGAACGTACTTGTTGGCAGTATTTCTTTTTTGGGAAAGTTTGGGAGAAATTCAGGATTCATGCCAAGGCAGCCATCTCACTACATTTGGCAAATAATTTGCATCTAGATACAACAAGAAAATGAAAAGAGGAAAAGATAAACCTGACCAATTAAAGACACTGATGGCCAGGTTACCTTAACAATTTTACAAAGTTGGGTCATCACAAGCACAAGAAATGTCACCTTACAAACTGCTTCGAGCCTGGACTCGCGTGATGAACATCAGAACCTCGTGATGTTTCTACTAGTAGCACAATCTACTAACTATCCTTAGATAGACTCAACTAACTTGACGGTAAATTAAGGTTAAGCCAATTCTTACAGCTCCCTCACATCACGGTGCAGGAGTTGGCATTGTCGTCGCTGAAAAGATCGGCGTAGGAGTAGCGCGCCGGCGAAGCCGCGCCCGTCTGCGGCGCCCAAGGCGACGGCTGCGAGTAGTAGCAGCACGGTGGGTACGTGTACGGGAGCTCCTGCGGCGGCAGGGACCTCGCGTCTGGCGCTGCCGTCGCCGGCGCGGCGGCGTAGTATGCCGCGCTCGCGCTCGGCCGCGCCATGCTGTAGCTCAGGACGTGCACCGAGGGCGGCGGCGGCGGCGGCTGCAGGTGTGGTGGCGAGTGGCAGGTGTGGCTGCCTTGGTCCGATGCTGCCGCCACCACCACCGTGGCGATGGCATCGACCGGTTTCTCCTCCTCCGGCCGCAGCTGCTTCCGCTTCCTCTGGGGGCCGTTGCATTGCTCCGCCGTGGGCTCCTTGCTGCGATGGCTGACATCGTCGACGCCGCCGGCGTCCGCGTTGGTGCTCTCCGTGTCGTCTTGAGCTGGCCTCACGGTCTCGCGGGCGACTTTGTTGGGATCTTCTTCAGGGGTGGCCTTGGAGTTGCTCTGCCCTGCGGCGCTTGTCTCCGCGTCGCCGGACGCCGGCTTGTGGGCGGTGCCAGTGCCACCGGGCTTGTCTGGCTGGATGGAGTCGTTCTTGGTTTCTCCGGGTCTCTGGGTTCCTACGGCCAGCTGCTGCTCCGGCCACTGCTGGGCATTCTTGCCCGACCTGCGGAGCCTCTTGAGCAGAGCGTCGGCGCTGACGTTCCCGGTGACGGCCACCGTCACCTTGTTGCTCCGGGCGTCGATGTCGCATCTGTACACGCCTTCAGAAAAAAGGCGAATCTATGGAATGAGAGGAAAATCCCATTCACAGGAGCAAGCAAAATAATTGGAGAAGTGAAGACATAGTGAAAATGTTGGAGATAGATAGACTAGACTGAGGTGACAGCACACCATCGACGCTCTGCAGCACTTTCTTCACCTTCTTCTTGCATCCCTCGCAGTGGATGGACACCCGGAGCACCAGAGTCTGCACGCCAAGAAATCAAGGAAACCATGAGGGTAAGACTCGAGTAATAATAACACGGCGAGCGAGAGTGACAGTGCTGGGTTTGGGGGAGGTACCTTGCACTGCAGAGGTTCTGTTGCCATGAGGAGGACGGTCTGTTCGGTGGGGAACGAAGGAAGGTGGAGGGGGAGAGGGAGAAAGGGGAAGTGACGCCGGATTGTTGGGAGTACCTTTCCACCTTGAGGAGGGTTTGATTGATGCTGCCTCCGCTGTGGTTGGGTTCGGGAGATATATCGGCCGTGTTTGGTCACTTGCAGTTGCAGATGGAGTAAAATGCAAGAACGGAAGAACCCATCACATATGACAGGTGGGGCCCGCTCGTTAGGAACTGACTTGGCAAAGAAAGGCCACCTGTGTGCGTTGACTAGTCCTCCGCCATCACCACCATCCCTTCCCTCGGGCAGCCATCCCATCCTCTCTCCCACTTCCCAGCCGCGCTCCCTCCTCCTCGACTCCCGCCGTGGCTTCATCTCCGTCGTGCCGCCCTGCTGACACGGCCCGCCGCTCGCTAGCACCCCATCCGCCTTGCCCCACTCTACAGATCAGGCCTCGAACCAGGCACGCACCGCGAGGCCTTACGGCCGGCCGACCAGCAAGCCGCACCAGAGCGAGCACTGCGACTCGTGCACCGCGCGCGCATCACCGTGGTGAGCTCCTGCCGGCGTGCGTGCGTGACGTGTGCTTGTGTGCGCGCTGCCTTCGTGTGCTCTGTTCGTGCTTTTGGGGTGCATGCTGTGATGGGTATGGGGAGGCGACGAGCTGCTCGTCCGTGGTAGCTCGGCGACATGGTGACGGGAGCCAGCTGGGCGGCTCGGCACGGAACCAGAAGTGCGGTCGGACCCGACGGAGCTGCTACACACCCCTGGAGGACGAGGTGGCGAGTTGTCCCCAATCACTAAGATGAAGCGCGGGAGCCTCGCCTCAACTCGCCATTGAAGCTCGCTCTAGCGGCGGAACTTCGATCAACGTCTCCCTGTCGACCTCCAGCGGCAAAGCTGTCGACGGAAGGTGGCGAGACGACGCGCTCGCGTGCATGTCGTGTTAGTCTAGGAGTGTTAGACTATGTATAGCTTCTGTACCTATGTACGTATATGGTACATATTGTAACACAACCATTATATATAATGAGATAAGCCATCCCTAGAGGGTTGTGCTGGTTCCCCAAAACTTATTGTCTTACATGGTATCACGCTAGGTTACGATCGCTTCCGCTTCTAAACCCTAATACCCGCACCGCCGCCGCAGCCGCCGCCGCCTTCACCGCCGCCGCCGCGCCACCGGTCGCGCCGCCGCCATGTCGAGCGCCGCCACCACCGGTTCCACTGCTGCGGGCTTCCTCCCGGCCTCTCTTGCGGCTCTGCTCAACCTCCCGCTCGATGCCGTCTCTGTTCCGGCTCCGATCGGGACAAGGAGCATCGGCTCCGTCTTCTCCACGCCGCCGGCGCCCTCGCTTGGGCGTGACCTCGTGGTCCACACCGCGGGGCCGCCGTCCGCTGCGGACTCCGCAGGCGTCGTCCCGCCGCTCCTGCCGCAAGCGGATCACACTGCCCCGCTGGCGGGGTTGGCGGCGTCCGCCCCGGTCGCGGGCCTTGCGGCGTCCGCACCGGCCGCGAGCTTTGCGGCGCCCGCCCTGGCTGCGGTCCCGCCTCCTCCCGCATCGGCTTCGGTGCCTCCGGCTGCCTCCATGGTGTTTGCACCCCAGGCAGCCTCCTCGATGGGATTGTCTTCGCCGCCGCCGTTTTACTTCGGTCATCTCATCACCATCAAGCTCTCCGCCGACAACTACATCTTCTGGCGTGCGCAGGTTCTCCCGCTCTTGGGGAGTCACTACCTGCTAGGCTACGTCGACGGATCGCTTCCCTGCCCACCCGCGCTGGTAGACAGCGTGCACGGTCCGGTCTACAATCCGGTCCATCGCGTCTGGACGGGGCAGGACCAGGCGAACCTCTCCTCCATCCAGGGGTCGCTCTCGCCGGCAGTTGCCGGCCTTGTTGTCTTCGCGAAGACGTCTCATGAGGCCTGGACCATCCTTGAGCGCACCTTTGCAGCGCAATCCCAGGCTCGTGTCTCTGCACTCCGTCGTCAGCTTGGAGAGTGTCAGAAGCTTGACTCCACTGCCACTGAGTTCTACAACAAGGTCAAGGGCCTCGCCGACACATTGGCCTCCATTGGACAGCCCCTCACCGACTCCGAGTTCAACTCGTTTATTGTCAATGGTCTTGATGAGGAGTATGATGCCTTAGTCGAGATCATCAACGAGCGGGGCAACTCGACACCCATGCGGGCACACGAGGTTTTCTCTCGGCTCCTTCTCACTGAGCAACGGGTCGAGACTCGCTGCACCAGGGGCACTGGCTCCCTCTCGGCCAACGCCGCCACCAAGGGTGGCCGCTCTTCTTCATCACCCCGGTCTCCCTTGGGGCTGCCACCGTCGCCCGCCTCGCCCCCCCCACCTACTGCGACCTTACCGGGGGCTGGCGGTCCACGTGCGTGTCAGCTTTGTGGCCGCGATGGGCACTGGGCCTCCAAGTGTCATAAGCGCTTCTAGCGAAGCTTCCTTGGTCTTGGCAATGACGGCAAAGATACACGCAACAATGCCCGTCAGGTCGCCATGGCTGATCGTCCCGCGCCGCAGAAGCAACAGGGACACACTCAGTCCTACTCCATCGATCCACACTGGTACATGGACTCTGGGGCGACAGAGCATCTAACCAGCGAGATGGGGAAGCTTCACACTCGTGAACCCTATCATGGCTCCAACAAGATCCACACCGCCAATGGAGCAGGTATGCACATCTCTCATATTGGTCAAGCATCTCTTCTCACTAGACATGCCAATAGGAGTCTTCAGCTTCGCAATGTTCTTCGAGTTCCATCTGTGACCCGTAATCTTCTTTCAGTTCCTAAACTCACACGTGATAATAATGTGATTTGTGAATTTCACCCTTTTGATCTTTTTATTAAGGATCGGGGCACGAGGGACATTCTTCTTAGTGGGCGGTTGTGCCAGGGCCTCTACCGTCTGGAGCATCCTGGTGTCGCTCGTGTTTTCAGTGGAGTTCGGGTCTCTCCGTCACAGTGGCATGCTCGTCTTGGTCACCCGGCCACACCTATTGTCCGTCATATTTTGCGTCGTCATGAGCTTCCTAGTTTGTCTAGTCATAAAGATGTAGCAGTGTGTGATGCTTGTCAGCAGGGGAAGAGTCATCAACTTCCTTTTTCGGAGTCCAGTCGTGAGGTGAAACATCCTTTAGAACTTGTGTTTTCAGATGTATGGGGTCCTGCTCAGACTTCTATCAGTGGTCATAATTACTATATCAGTTTCGTTGATGCTTATAGTCGCTTTACCTGGCTTTACCTTATTAAACGCAAATCTGATGTGTTTGATATTTTTGTTCAGTTTCAAAAACATGTTGAACGTCTTCTCAAGCACAAAATTGTTCATGTCCAGTCAGACTGGGGGGGCGAGTATCGCAACCTCAACTCTTTCTTTCAGTCGCTTGGGATAGCTCATCGTTTAGCATGTCCACATACACATCAGCAGAATGGTTCAGTCGAACGTAAGCATTGTCATATTGTTGAAGCTGGTCTTACTCTTTTGGCCCATGCATCTGTTCCGTTTCGGTTTTGGAGTGATGCTTTCACCACTGCATGCTTTCTCATCAACCGTACTCCTACTCGTGTTTTAAACATGAAGACTCCCATTGAGGTTCTCCTTAATGAACAACCTGATTATACCTTTCTCAAGGTATTTGGGTGTGCATGCTGGCCGCATCTTCGTCCATATAACAAGCGCAAGCTTGAGTTTCGTTCTAAGAAGTGTGTTTTTCTTGGCTATAGCTCTCTTCATAAAGGTTACAAATGTCTTCATGTTCCCACTAATCATGTCTATATATCTCGGGACGTCGTGTTTGATGAGCATGTTTTTCCCTTTGCCAACCTTCCTGTGTCCACTGTCGAACCACCATCCCTGCATTCATCCTCTGTTGCTTCTGACCAATTTGATGATGTTGCATACTCTCCTTTGCTGTTACCTAACCATGGTGCAGGAACCGGACGTGGAGCTCGTTTGGAGCTGTTGGAGGATTCACCATCATCATCGTCGTCTTCTGGTGGGCACGTCGATCGCCCTATGTTGCATGGCATCGATTCGCGTGCCCATGCATGGTCACCCGACGAGCCCGTCGCGCCGAGCATCTCCACTGCTCGGTCCGTTTTGCCAGCGGCTGCCGAGTCGCCCGCGGCTCGGCCCGTCACCCCGTCTTCGCCTGCGGCTCGGCCCGTCACGCCGTCTTCGCCCGCGGCTCGGGTCCTCACGTCGCCTTCATCAGCGGATCGGCCCGCGACACCGGCCATGCCACGGCCCACTATGCCGAGCTCGCCATCGGCCCGGTCTGTGATGCCGGAGTCGCCAGCTGCTTCGTCTGCTCTGCCGGTTTCACCGGTGGGTCGGCCTTCTTCGCCAACCGAGTCCGAGGCTACCCTGACTGGCTCCTCGTCACCGGCTGACTCGTCAACGTCGCCGTCCTCCAGCCCGTTGCAGGCTGCTCCGTCGACCTCGGTGGTTCCTGTGTCCCGACCACATACACGCAGTCGCAGTGGCATTTTCAAACCTAAGGAACGTAAGGATGGTACGGTTGCTTGGTTGGCTGCTTGTTTGGCTGCTGCTGTTGCGGATCCATCTTCTGAGCCTCGCTCATATCAGGCTGCCCTGCGCATTCCACATTGGCGAGAGGCTATGGAGCAGGAGTTTCATGCTCTTCTTCATAACAAGACATGGACTCTCGTTCCTCCACCACCACGGGTAAATGTTATTGACTCAAAATGGGTATTCAAAGTGAAGAAGCATTCGGATGGATCTATTGGGCGTTACAAAGCGCGACTTGTTGCTCGCGGTTTTCGGCAGCGTCATGGTCTTGACTATGAGGACACCTTCAGTCCTGTTGTCAAGCCTACCACTATTCGGCTTCTTCTCTCCATTGATGTTTCTCGTGGTTGGTCACTTCGTCAACTTGATGTGCAAAATGCTTTTCTACATGGATTTTTGGAGGAAGAGGTTTATATGAAACAGCCGCCTGGTTTC